GTACTATGAAGAACATGAATCTGTTTCATAACAAATCTGTAGATGTAACAGTGAATAATGATTGCCTTGTATGCCCACTAGCTAAGCAAAGTAGGCTAGTATTTCCTACAAGTATAAGTAGAAGTGAAAATCCTTTATCTCCTTTATATATGGATGTTTGTGGACCATATAGGTTTTCCACTTATGATAGAAAACATTTCTTCCTAACTGTTGTGGATGATAATACAAGGTACACTTGGGTGCATTTGCTTCAATTGAAAAGTGATGTTGTTGTAGTGTTGAGGAAATTTCTTTCCATGTTGCACACCCAATTTCAGTCCAAAGTTAAAGTAGTTAGAACAGATGATGGCACAGAGTTCTTTAACAAACACATGAATGATTTGTTTGATGCTTATGGGATAGTTCACCAAAGCAGTTGTGTATATACTCTACAACAGAATGGAGTAGTGGAGAGAAAACATAGACACATTCTGGATACAGATAGGGCATTGAAGTTTCAAGCAAGTGTTCCTACAAAGTTCTAGGGTGAATGCATCACAACAGTTGTACATGTGATAAACAGACTGCCTACTGAGTTGTTGAATGGGAAAAATCCATATGAGATCCTTCATAACAAGTCACCCTCATTGTCTCACCTTAGGGTGTTTGGGTGTCTTTGTTATGCCACTAATTTAGTTAAGGAAGACAAATTTTCACCAAGAACAAAAGCAATTGTATTCCTTGGTTATGCAGAAACACAAAAAGGCTACATGCTATTAGATTTGAATACTAATTATTTCTTTGTTTGCAGAGATGTTATTTTCAAGGAGAATATCTTTCCATCTGCCAAACATTGTTCCACATCTCATAATAGAGAAGGACATGCATCATCTGTACATCCCATCTCAGGCCTGGAATAATTTGAACCTCTACAGAACTCCCATGGCAACATGCATCCGCAGTCAGAAGGAATTGCAAGCAGTAATTTAGAGGAGTCTGTTGAGGGGAGTGGCCTTGACAACAGTGCATGGACTAACATTAGAGAACATGAAGTAACTGGAGAAGCAAATGCTCATGATATGCATGACTCACCAGCATCAAATACAGATGATGATGCAAATGCAGATTACAACAATGCAGTAATAGAAAATGATAATGCTGATGCACCAACAAGTAGCAATGCAATTCCAAACCAACACTTAATGCAGGAAAGTGGAGTGATTCTCCAGCAGCTCTTGAACCAGAGTTAACTGAGGTCAGAAAATCAAAAAGAACTGCAAAGGAACCTTTGTGGTTGCAGGACTATGTGACCACTACAAAAAAGAGTTCTTCCTATCCCCTATCCAACTATCTATCCTATAGCAGGTTGATTAGTAAATGTAGAAGTTTCTTGGATGGAATCTTAGCACTAACAGAACCAAAAACCTTCAATGAAGCATCTAAGGACAAAAGGTGGATTGAAGCCATGGAAACTGAGATCAAGGCTTTAGAGGACTACAAAACTTAGGATGTTGTTGACCTTCCAAAAGGCATGAAGTCTATTGGTTCAAAATAGGTGTACAAGATAAAACACAAAGCAAGTGGTGAGGTAGAAAGGTTCAAGGCCAGGTTGGTAGAAAAGGGCTATAGCCAAAGAGAAGGCCTAGACTATAATGAAACCTTTTCACCAGTTGACAAGATGGTAACTGTGAGATCTGTGATTGCTCTTGCTGCTTCTAAAGGCTGGAACATATCACAAATAGACGTGTACAATGCATTCTTGCAAGGGGATTTGTATGAGGAAGTGTATATGGAACTTCCTCAAGGTTTTAGGAGACAGGGGGAGACATAGGTCTGTAGACTATTGAAATCATTATATGGGTTGAAACAAGCCTCACGATAGTGGAACATTAAGCTTAGTGAGGCCTTAACAGCTGCAGGATATGTTCAGAGTCTATATGACTATTCATTGTTCACTAAAAGGAAAGGAGATGACTTTGTAGCAGTGTTGATATATGTGGATGATTTACTAATCACTGGAAATAGTGACGAGTTTATCAATGGGACCAAAGCTGTCATTTATCAGAAGTTCAAGGTGAAGGATCTTGGTGATCTCAAATACTTTTTGGGAATTGAAGTTAAGAGATCCATGAAGGGATTCTATTGAATCATAGAAAATATTGTCTTCAACTCATCTCTGATTTGGGATTGACTGGAGTTAAGCCAGTCTCAACTCCCATAGATCTCAATCAGAAGTTCACCTCTGCCTAGTTTGACAGACACACTGGGACTACAGGTGATGAAATCCTGACAGATGTGAGTGAATACCAAAGGTTGATTGGTAGGTTGATCTATTTGACTATCACACAATCAGACATTATGTTTGCAGTCCAAACTCTCAGTCTGTTCATGCAAGAGCCCAAAAACTCTCATTGGGATGCAGCTATGAGAGTAGTCAAATACCTAAAACATGAACCATGCATGTGGATATTTCTAAGCAGTGCAGGTGCAGATAGTTTGACATATTTTTGTGATGCAGATTGGGCAAGTTGTCCAAACACACGAAGGTCAGTGACCAGGTACTTAGTTAAGTTTGGCAACTCACTCATCTCTTGGAAGTCCAAGAAGCAGCATACAGTGTCAAAAAGCTCTGTAGAAGCAGAGTATAGAAGCCTAGCAGCTGTGACAGCAGAAGTAGTCTCGTTATTAGGACTGTTTGCTGAACTTGGAGTGCCCATCAAGCGACCTGTGGAAGTTTATGTGATAGCAAGACTGCTCTACAGATTGTGGCCAATCCTATCTTCCACGAGCGTACTAAACATATTGAGATCGATTGTCATTTTGTGCACGACAAAATCAAACAAGGTGTACTCAGCATACAATTTGTGGGAACTAAAGATCAGCTAGCTGATCTTCTCACTAAAGGTATTGGACAGTCTTAGCATGCATTTTTACTAGGCAAGCTTGGAGTGCTCAACATCTTGCACCCGCCAGCTTGAGGGGAAGTGTGAGCTATAGTCAGTTTTGTTAGTTGAGAAGACGAGTTAGTTAGTCGGTTATAGTTGTGGGACCCAGTAGTTAAGTAATTAGAGTTAAATTAGTACGGAGTTGAGTTAGTGTGTAATTGTATATAAAGTTGTACTCATCTATTACAGAAATAGAATTCATTTACTGCAACTCCTCTCTTCTCTCTTAAGCTCAATCTCTCTACTCTCAAACCTAATTCCAAATTGCTTGGATGATTTTGAAAATTGAGCTCAGATTCATCAAGCTCACATATTCGCGCCATTTATATAATTAAATAGAGCTAATGCGTAAATACCAGAATTATTATATAAATATACTAGAATTATTATCTAAATATACCAGAATTATTTTATAAATAAATTCATAAACATGGACGCAATATACATGATACAATTATTACTTGTATAATTAAAATGCTAGAATTATCCCATAAATATTTAATAAAATTATCAATTATTAGTATATCTTTTATATAATTAAATATTAATTATATATGCAATATACTAAGAATCAATTCTGGTGGAAGTCATATTCTTGCGATAAATTCAGAATAATTGAAATATAAATGCATTGAAGAACAATTCCACATTTTATAATAATACCATTATTATACCAATTATATAATTAAATAGTGATAAGTAAATATGTAATATAACATAATTATTCCATAAATATATGTATATTGTATATTCGAATTAATACATTATATCATTGTTATTATACCTGCTAAATTTCAAATTCATTGGAGTTATATTGATCTTATTTCCAACGGATTGGATACACTTCAAATATAAATGAATATTTTAAAGTATTTTCTCGTAATATTTTTGATCTTATTGTTCGTACTTTTCAATTCTTAGTGGTAGTATATATCAATATACCTATTATATTCAATATATATTATTTTAATATTTAATTATTTTCTCAAATGTTGATTGCTTTATACATGTTTTATCCCAAGTTTATTTATAAATAACTTTTATGAATGAAAAGGAATCATTGAGATCCTAGTTTGTTCTCAAGCGTGATATATGGGACGTAGTTAATTAGAAATTGAACCGTTTACGATAATTTATTAACTGAAAACGTGATTCTTGGTTCAATATTATAGGTTTCTACTAGGAATGTAGTTAATTAGTTGTCATATTTGTTAATTACTTATTGATGCTGGAAGTCCATAAAATTTTCTTAAATATTGACTAATTATTTTTTTTCCCCAAAAATATTCGCTAAGAAGTAGTCAAACATCCATTAAAAGGTAATTTTATGTGGGTCACCTTGAGCCCATCCGTGTGATAATTAATAAGATGATTTCACACTTGAAGAAGAGACTTCAACCAACAAAGACCTAACTTCCACTAAAAATTTTGAAACAAAGAAAATCGACTTTTTATCCATTTGGTTTCATTCATACAATTAGCAAAACATACATCGTGATTTTTAAAGAAAATCAATCCAAATCGAATCATGTACTCTCTTAGTATCAAGATGGAGTCGATAGCCAATTTCGGAGAACAGAATAAAAAATTTGAACTAGAACCCCCACACTATTAACAACTATTTGATCATTTTTTCTTCTAAGAAAATCCGACATGTTAGAAAACTTCTACTGTTAGTTATTAAGAAAAAATTTATTCCATTTATGTAATGGTAATGATAGATTTAACTCCAACTATCAACAGATGACAAATTTAAACTATTATGCAAAGTTTAAACACGAATTTAGCCGTTGCCCAAAAATAAATAGAACTATAAGCATAGCTCTAAGAATTAGAAAACTATAAAATGAAATGAAAAAGAAAGAAGAAAAAGAGAAGAGTTTATCTTCTTTTTTTGGGTTTTGGGGGGGGGGGGGGGGGGTGTGAGAAGTCAAAAGTCAATAAAAATTGGAGTTGGGGACTTTTGGGTGAGTAAACTATGTCAACATTGTAATGACATCGTTGGAACAAATTTTTGGGCGCACGGCCCACTATATACGGGCTTAAGTTAGCCCAATAGGTTCTATTTATACCCGACTTCACATTTTTTTTCAATTTCTTCACTGTTAGACGGAAAAATTCCCCGTTTCTGTAAACTCGAATTCAATTTCTCGTACTGTATATTGAATTCCAAACGTGTGTTATAGCTTCCGTTCAATGGCATCTGTTGACACCGACGTGACTATGGTTCCGGCCGGCGAGGGTTCCGCCGGTGCCGGAGCTTCATCATCATCTTCCACTAAGAAGGCCAAGCGTTTTGAGATCAAAAAGTGGAACGCCGTCTCTCTATGGGCTTGGGGTAATTTTCTAACCCTAACTTACTCGTAGGCTTACGTTTCTTCATATTTTTAACGATTTGGTGATATCTTATGTTCTATGTACATGCAAATGTCTAAATATATATAATTATACACATATATAATGAAGTTCCTATTTAAATTTAACGAGTTGATGATATTATGTGTGTGTGTGTATATTTGTGATGTGTAAATATATCTGATTATACACACACATACACAGACACAGACACAGACACAGACATTAAAGTTCCTGTAAATATTTAATTATACACACATGCACATACATTAAAGTTCCTATACACATACATTAGTTTACATTAGTTTAAGTTCCTGTAATAGCCATGGTAATTTAATGTAAGTAGTTGGTCCTCTTTATGTGTGTGTTTATGTATATATATGTATATGTGTGGAAGCAGACACTAAACATCATCTAATAGCCACCAGAAGTTAATGGAAGTAGATTGGCCCTTCAATCCTCGAGTACACTGTGGACTTCGCACTTTAACATGATGAACATCGTATATACACACACACACCCTGGCACTTATGCAACTGTTCGTTCGTCACTTTGATACTAAAACACGAACTGCATATTAGGGGTTTATCTATGCACAAACTCAGGCCTAGAGTTTCAGTAGGAGAATGCATTGTCTAGAAAGCAATGCTAAGTATTGAAAGTTTTTATACTAGTAGGAAGTAGCTAATACACTTTGCTATTTTCTTCAATGGTTCTGTCCTGTAATTTGTAGTGCTGACTTTGATGGAGCTCCCTTTTGTTGATGCAATGTTAATTGAATATTACCTAGTGGAGAGCAGGGGGAAAGGAAGAATTAACACATATTTATGCATATTACCTGGAGTTTTAGTGTAATCATATCTACTTACAGTTCAGTATTGTGCTACAATTTTGTGTGCATATTCATAAATTCAGTGATGTAGACACTAGTTCCATGTATATGAGACATATGCTTTAATGATTTTAATTGAGCTTTTCGATGTTTTAATGTAGTCTCTTTACTTGCTGGTTGCAGATATTGTGGTAGATAACTGTGCTATCTGTAGGAACCACATCATGGATCTCTGTGAGTCTTGGTTTTCTTTTTTACAGCTTCTGAAGTGCAGTTCTGTCTGCTTATATGATCATCATTTCATTGCTAAAGCTTGTTCCTCTTAGTATTTGCTTTATCATGTGGTAAATTTATTAGGTATTGAATGTCAAGCTAATCAAGCTAGTGCAACAAGTGAGGAATGCACAGTGGCTTGGGGTATGTTGCTTCTCTTTTATGGAAGTAAAATTGTTCCCAATTTTTATTTCAATCTAGTTTGTCGACCTGCCATGCTTTCCTATGCCTTTCTCTAAGTGATCTGCCATCCTTGTGTATTACCATTTGTTATTTTTGCTATCTCTGAATATATATTATCGTTTTGGGATAGTCAAACGATTCATTTGTTGTGGTGATTTAACTTCTGCCAAATGGTTGATTTGGTGATAAGGCGGGATTAATTTGGTTCCAACACTTTAGGTATATTTTACTTATAGTATTCCCAAGATTTTAGAGCATCCTGTAGATGTGATTTTCAGTCTTTTTGTATGCTGGAATTTGTGCCAAATGAAGGATGCTGTTTTTCTCTTGTTTTCTAAAGCGCTGGCCATAGAAATTTGGGCGTTGTCCATAACTGAAGATGTCTATCTTTTAACCTAAACAAGATAGGGCCATGTTCTTTATTTTCTGTCAGAGAAAACCAAGGGAAAGAGGAAGCAGAACATTTTCTATACAAGATCCTGCGAAAAGTTTCCCTATGGGATTACACTAAAGTTTAGGTTGAATTGGATCATGCGAGCATACATAAATCATAAGATCTTATTTTAGTAACAGGACATGAAGTAGAATTGTCAACAACTGAAGCTAAATACTACTCCAACAGTTCTGTTACTTATAACTAAGATATCAGGATTTTGATTATCTTGTTTAAGTCCTTGGTGTGTACATTTTACTAGGCACAAATATTTTGGTAATAATTGAATTTTTTAATTTTGTTTAAAATTAATTTTTTGCATAGAAGATGGTCTATTTTCGTTTCATTATTTGGAAGTTCCTCCCCAATCCGGTCTTTTTATTTCAAACTAATGGTTGTCGTTCACTTTCCCCCCTCTCTCTCTCTCTCTCTTTCCTCCTTTTCTTTTTGTCTTCCATTATTTGTCTTCCCTCCTGAAAAGCGCTTATTCTCCCTCCAGAACAAAGCTCAGAAGTGGTACCATCTAGTAGGTGAATTTTACTTTCATATTAAGCTTTGCCTGTACATGCCTTAACAAACCAACACTAAGGCCAGTTTATCCCCTTGTTAACCCCTCATTCTGCTACAAGCTGGGAGAAAGAGATAATTGTGAATGAGGATGTACAACAACAACAACAACCCAGTATAATCCCACTAGTGGGGTCTGGGGAGGGTAGTGTGTACGCAGACCTTACCCGTACCCTGGGATAGAGAGGCTGTTTCCAATAGACCCTCGGCATCCTTCCCTCCAAGAACTCCCCACTTTACTCTTGGGGTGACTCGAACTCACAACCTCTTGGTTGGAAGTGGAGGGTGCTTACCATCAGAGCAACCCACCTTGGTTGAATGAGGATGTAGAAGAAAGCAATTTAATTTCAGGGGGAGGGGGAGAAGAACAGAACTTCTTTGTTTTCATCAATTCTTTTTACCTAGTGTGTCTTTGCTTCTAGTTTTAGTGGAAAATCAAAAGGTTTTTTCCCATTCCTAGTTTTCATTTTTGAATGGAAGGGAGAACCTATTTCTCACCAGACTACATAGATTTATGAGAGTACTACTCCCTCAGAATACTCTCTTTTGGTTGGGGGAAGGAATGGCACTGGACTTGGTTGAAGAAATTAGATATTTTGTGCTTCTCTTGTGGCCTTTCCATTGTGTAAGCCTGGATGTAATGAGGATGTGATCATGACAGATTATCTTATGCTGAGGTCATCAGCTTATCTGACTCAAAGGAACAATGATAAGTGACAATCTTGGCAATTATTATTAATTTATCTTTGAATTTTAACTTCTTGAAATTAGAGATGCTGCCAAGAATATTTCACTTTACCTTTATTATTTTGAGGTAACTCTGCTCTTCCTAATGTATTTTACTTGTAATGATATTGCAGTTGGACTAAATTAATTTGCTGGCGGATATGCTAGGAATGTGTTAGTGGGACCTAAACTTAGTCATGTTTCTTCTTCCTCACTTTAGCCACTCTTTAAATTTTTTTTCCTTCTACACGATATGGCATTTATCTGATATTATGCTACTACCCTGACCATAAATATATCTTGCATTTACATTGTTGCTGCCTAAGAATTGAGCTTTGAGAAGGATATTAGATTGAGTGCTCCAGCTCTATGCTCTTCATGTTTCTATCTATTGGAGGAACTTACTTTTTCAGATGCCTTTGCTTTCTTTGACTATATGTGTTACCCCGGCATATACCTGATATCTAGCTGATTTTATCCTGTATAAGTGTTAGGACTGCGTTCCTTGAGTCAGCTTGACATGGATCAGAGGGCTTCAATAATTGCTACATCGACCTTCTTTTGTTTTTGTTTTTTTAATTTTTTCTTGTTTCCAGTGCCATGGACTGCATTTTCTGTGAATTTTGGAATTTTAAGGGGTACAAATTTATACTCATCATCGCTTTATGTAATTTTTAATATGGGATATCCTTCTATACTTGGAAATTCTCAGTTTGGCCATTTGCTCCTTATTGCAGGAGTTTGCAACCATGCGTTCCACTTCCACTGCATTAGTAGGTGGCTCAAGACACGTCAAGTCTGTCCTCTTGGTAAGTTGTATGCTAATGCTGCGTTGTTAGGCATACAGTTGTAGCATTATGCCATATCTCCTAACAGTTGTGTGCTTGTTTTATCCTTCAGACAACAGTGAGTGGGAGTTTCAGAAATATGGTCACTAGAATTTGCTGCTCCTATACAGGAAGTGGGATTTTCAGAAATATGGTCACTAGAAATTGCTGCTCCTGTACAAGAAGTGGGATTTTCAAAAATATGGTTATTTTGATCAGAGTATACTGATTGAATTACCCGCCTAGGTACATTCCTTGATTGGAAACTCTAACAAAGCTTTTGTGCTTTTAGTTCATAGACGTGACTGTGGATACGACTTCACTTTTTGTTGGCACTTCGTAATTTTGAGATGTGATATTACCATGTGAACTTTTGCTATTTTGGATGTGCCGTTGATTCTTTCATCAAGTAATTCGGTCATCTTTTTGGTTAACTGGCAGTTTATTTGTTCCGCCGCCATTATCAGTTTATCACTACCTGTGACTTATGGCTAAACATAAATTCCTATGCTGTCTTCTGGAGCAGAGACTAATAATGTTGGGGATAAGGTGCTATTTTGACTGCCCTCTGCTACACTTTGTTAAATGGCATTTATGCCCCTCTGTTATGCTATGTGTGACCCTAGATGAACCAAATACAGAGGCCAAACTAGAGGAGGATTCTAAGAGACAAAGGTCAAGTATAAAGACATTAAATATATAGTAGCATCGCAAACGTTTAAAATAGTAGATAAAATGTGAAAGAGTAGACGTGAATGTCAAATAAATGCAAATAACTAGATGTAAAACATGAAGGTAATTTGCTACGATAGGTTCAGGTACACTAGATGTGTAAAGTTATCTTACGCTATTAGTTATATCAAAGTTCTATAATTTTAGTCTCTCAATTCATTTCATGAAAGAATTGGGTAAGCAAACCAGCTCATAAAGAAGGGATTATCATTGGGCTTTATTTACTTTAACACAAAAAGCGTGAGACGTGATGATTATTAGATTGTAAAGCGTTGATGGGAGGAATACACTATCTGAAACATTATCCCATTTGACTAATGATTATTAGAGGGAATAACCTAATATAGTAATTGGAAAAGGAGAAAGGGTATATTCCTGAGTGCTTCATAGCTGTAAATTCTCTCCCTTTTTTTTAAACAAAACAATAATGGTTGTCGCAAACAGAAATACTATTATATATGGTGATATAGGTAAAGCTGTTAATATTATAAGCTTTTATTGGACCCAATTTGGATCAAATGGATGATAAATCATGGATCAAAGCACGCAGTGGAATGATTCAATGAGCAAGGCCCATGCAGAAAAGGTATTCACCATCACAATATCCCTTAAGTTTAGGTGTTTTAACTTCATTTATGAGAGACGCTAGTTAAAAATTTACAACAATCACAGCAGCATACCTAGTACGGTCTCACAGGTAGAGTATGAGAAGGGTAATGTGTACGAAAATCTTACCCCTACCTCGTAAAGGTAGACATATTATTTCGATTAGATCCTCGACTCAAGAACATTAGTTAAAACTTTTAAGAATAAAATAATTACCTATTTTCTATTCTAAAATAAACTAAAATATTATTTAATAAAATAGGGTTGTAGGTATTTTCTGACCTAAAGTAAAAATACTATATAATATTCACGTTTCAGTTGTATGCTTGATTTGAGTCGAGAATCTATTGAAAATAACTTCTACCGATATAAGGTAAAAATAAAATCTACGTGCACGTTTAACATGACCCTTGTTATAAAATTTTAATGGATTTGTCATTATTGTTGTAGTCACGTTTCACTATTATAAGATTAAGTATGGTCCATTTTAATTTTTATTGGAATAAACATAGAGTTCAAATAAATATTCTACCGTGTTAAAATGCTGCGAAATTGTTGAAAGCAAGAGGGAAACGGTCATGAAGCAGTAAAGGGAAACAACAACATTGGACCACTTGCCCTCGAGCACATAAAATTAATAGGTCTCTCTTGTCTTTCTCATCATGTTTGAGGAACAAACAGAGTTGGGAAATGGGCCTTTATTCCCAAATCCCACTTCAAAACGAAAAAACAGCGCATGCCTAATATTATTCAGTAAGTGTTAATTATCTGAAAATCAGAACTCAAAGTTAAAAAGACAAAAAGAGAAAAAGCCAAAGGAAAGGAAAGGAAAGAGTAAAAAGATCAACGTCGCCTGAGAGATTCGAACTCTCGCGGGGAAACCCCATGTACTTAGCAGGCACACGCCTTAACCACTCGGCCAAAGCGACATCTGTTACTCATCGACAATACGAAATATAAAAAATGGGTTTATGACTTTATGTGACATATGTTGGTGAAAAAAATATTTTTTTCTTTTAATTTGGAGACAATTTAATTTAAACTTCTCATTTGTCTTTACCAATAACCATTTATGCCGAAAAAAATATTATAACATATTTAAGACAATAAACCGATAGTTCGGAGAAGGGCCGCACCCTAAGAAGATGTAATGTACATTGTTTCCCCTAATACAAATATCATTGGTTGATTCCACGACTCAAACTCGTGATATATATTTAAGACACGTAATTTCAAAATTCTATATTTATTTCTTATGTTTCATGTCTATTCAAATATGGACACTTAAAATAAGACGGGGAGCAGAGGCGGATCTAGTACTTTTATAATATGGGTGAACCACAAAAAAATGAGAAAAAAGGAAAGAGAGGAAAAAAAGCATCTTTCCCATGCAATTTGTTGCTCTTCTCTGTTTACTATTAAAATTCATAAGCATAAATCAGCTAAGATCGCAGTTTACATCTGCAGACTTAAAAATCGCATTACGTCTCAGATTGCGCCTTATAAATCTAAAATGCAAATTGTTGCTGTTCTCTGCCTACTCTCCATTACACTTTCTCCATTACTGTTTAACCTTAAGTTGCATAATTCGTTATGGCGTTATGCGGACGCACTCTTTCCCAAGCGGTGTCACGTGACATCGCTTGATCCAAAATTTTATTAAATATACATATAGAAAAATAAAGTTATTGGGTATAAATATAGAAAATGACACCGCTTATCATTATAGTGATTTATTCTTTTATTCATTTCTTCAAACATTGACATTCACATGTAAAAAATTCTGCCTACGTCAATTCTTTCTGTTTTTGTCTTTCTTTTTTCTACATGAGTTTTCCACTTAAAATTTTATAGCAATGCTTACTTTGGTTAAAACTCTTCACTGTCTACGTCAATTAGTGCAGTGAAGAGTTTTAACCAAAGTAAGCATTGCTATAAAATTTTAAGTGGAAAACTCATGTAGATAAAAGAAAGACAAAAACAGAAAGAAGGATTACACGCGAATTTAATGTTTGTCAATATTGGGTGAAAATTACTTACACCCCCAAATTATAAATATTTCCATCCTCCTATTTCAATTGAAAATTTGAAAGCTTATTTTACTCTGTAAAGTATCAATGTCATCTTTCCCATGTGAATGTTACACTATCTAACAAAAGTAAAGTAGGAATTGGAAAGAGATGGAAAAAAGAAGAAATCGGAAAGAGAGGAGCTTTATTTGATTTATCAGTCATGCATTTGCAGGCAACTAGGGGAAAAGCTCTCCTCGAACTTCTAAAAGTTTTCCACTCCAATTGCCAATGCATTTATAGGTTACATCGATATGCATAGCAGGAACTAAAGTCGTCTGTCACAAAATTTGAAGTCTCATTTTAGGGTAAAAGTCTGCCCTTATAATATTTGAAGTAAGATAATACTAAAAAGTAATTCTCGAGTCGTCTTGGTTGAAATGGGCCAAAAAAATAACAAAGTCCTTGGCTGAAGTGGTGACATCAGCCTTGGTCGAGATGTTGACTAGAGCCGTAGTGGAGATGATAACAAGGGTCAAGATCAAGGTTGAATATTGTTGATGAGCGTTGTAACGACTAGTTTGTTAGGATAGGATATTAAAAGAGAATATTTTAATGAATATTCTCTAAACTTATACTATTAGGATTTTTTAGGAACATGTCTCATCCATATAGAAAAAAGAGATAACGAGAGAGGCATGTGATATTCATTTGTAAGAACACACTTTGACAAAAAGATTTTCTATCTCTTACTAAGATACAAACATCACCTTTCCACTAAGATTCTTGTCTATATTATTCTATACTTTTCCATCAGATCCGAGAATAACTCTAACATTCAAAGATTTATCTATCACTCATCATTGTTAAGAGACCAACCATTTAGTTCATCCTTTATTTGGAGAATAATTCCTCATATCTACTTAAATGTCATTTATTATTATTCAATGTCATTAAATGCTACATTCTTGTTCATATTTTTTGGAATAGTTATTGCATACTGTTGTCAATATTCGACCAAATCTATCTGACGTTTATTGCACCCTTGGAAGCTACATCTAGAAAATATTATTGTAAAATAAGTTTAACCCATAATCACATAAAATTAATTATTTGAACCAAGAGTCATATTTTTGGCCAAACAATTTGGCGCTGTCTGTGGGAATTTCTTAGTTAAAACTTTTAGTTTCTTCTGGATCTACAACTAGCACGGGTCACTAACGTAAAAAAAAAAAAGAAGGCAAAAATAAGATCTCCTTTCTTTGTGTGCACAAATCCCAACATGGCAGGTAACCGAGAAGTAAGGTCGAGAATAATAAGTAACCTCCCAACCAACCTCATGAACGTCATCAACGAAAGTTGTGAAACGGCAGACGATAGCGCGACGGCCCGTGCCTTCCCTAGGCGAGATGGGTCACTGCCCCCTCACAAAATCTCGTGGTAAGGAAGCCTCCACGTCTGTGTGGGAAGAGACGCCCCCTGCTGTAAAAAAGCTCCTCGAAGCATGGCTAACTGACACGCTAACCATCGTCCTCAACAAGCCCACTCGAGACACGACTGCAGAAAATGCAAGGACTTGCAAAATACAACGAACGGACGAGGAGTGCAACCAGCCTTCTCCTCCAACGACAGGTATTACTCACAATGTNCAGAGGTATGCCTCCCTATTATCTGCTCATAATTTTTGTGTGTCACCTACAGAGATAGTATACGCCCCGGAGAAGCTCAGGCCAAAAGTGAAGTGGTCGCCGAAGATGAGATCGGACCCTAACACCAGAAAATCTAACGCCCTCTGTGAGTTTCACCAAGAACGAGGGCATAAGACGGAAGACTGCATCGCCCTAAGGCAGGAAGTCGTGAATATGCTACGGCAAGGACACCTTAAAGAGCTGCTAAGCAATAAGGGAAGAACCAATTTTGCTAAAGGACGCGAAATCAAGGGCCGCCCAAACCACCCTCACCGGCACTTACCAACAACATGATCATCGGCGACGACGCCTATATCAACAACGTGAAGTTAATCACTAACCACAAACTCAAGCGATCTATCACCCGCGAATGGTATTACGAACGCGAAGAAAGTATCA